GGTAACTTCCGATAAAAGGAGGGGTACACGGGATAGCAACTAAATTGAGAAATTCTTTTGCTCTTAAGATGAGCAACCAAGACATAGATGGCTGTTATTATATACATTCAGCCTGAGTTATAATACTTTTTTTTAAGTGATAAGGGATGGGAATAAGTAAGGGGCAGCGGTCCTGCTGGTGTTTAGCAGTTGACTTGAGGAGGGGATGATTGGTTATTTCCCTTACATACATACTCCCACCATAGCTGATTTCAAACTACCAATGTGACATCAAGTGACACATAAAATCCCTGAAAGTTTAACAGTCCCTGTCCTGTAGTAGGCAGCCCAGCACACCACTTGGTACAAATCAGGGGTACAAAGTGCTCTGAATGTCGGAGCTGAAGACCTGGACTTCCTCTGATGAAGAATCTGTGGCTAGTTAAGACTTTTCTAGAACCCTAGAAGATAGGTCAAGGACTGGATTATATTATTTATTGCTTTTTAAAACCAACCAACCAAACAACTAAGCAGTTTTGCAGTAGATGCTAAGCAGGATCTCAGTTTGAGATTTTGGAGTCCCAGAATGGCACAGCTGGGTGGGGCTGGCTCAATCTCTCTCCCGAGGCTGCAGGCGAGCTGTCAGCCAGGCTGCAGTCATTTGAAGTGCTGCCTAGGCTGGAGGAGGAGTGGCTTCCAAGATTATTTACCTGATTGTTCCTCATGCTCTATGCTCACTGGCATATCTCAGGCCTAGTCCTGGGCCTCAGCAGCTCCCAGGCATCTTCACAGTAATGGAGTAGGAAGGATGCAGTTCCCCAACAGTCAGGGTCAAGCAATGCTGCCCTCAGTACTCGCTCTCAGTAGACAGATCTGTTAGACTAGGTAAGGGTCAAACAACACCAGAAGGAGATACAGGAAGGTGACTACTGCTTCTTTCCCTCTGCATTTGCCCACTTTCCCACTCCATTATCCACATCCTATCCTGGGTTTCTCTTTTACTAAGCACCAGTTCACTCACTGTCATTCTCTTGGCCCAGGGAGGCAAAGCTGGTCAGGAAGGGATGATGGGAAGGCCCAGCTTATCCTATGATGACCCTTGTCCACAAGCACATAAATACGCAGCTTTCCTGCCCCCACTCCTGATCCGGGCTCTCCCAGCCCAGCAGGCTCTATGCTGAATTGCAGGCTGGTGCAGTGGACATGATCCAGCAGGTTGAGTGGTGTTCTACAGCTCATGACCACTCCTGGCTGGCCATCAGCCTGCAGCTCATCACTACAGTGCTAGCCTACTGTGGCTGCTGTTTGGGGAAGGAAGAACTGAACTTAGGTGGGCTTGTTCCCCCAGCATGTAAAATGATAGTAGAAATGGGCGACTGAGAGTGATGTGAATGTGCCTGGGAAGTCAGGGAAGAAATCAGTGGTGAGGATCCCAGGGTCCAGGGACCAGGGCCTCTGCTGGGTCAGAAATCTCCCATTTCCTTTTCCAAACAGACCAGAAGGATATAATTTTAATTACATACCAACACTCAACCCCCTTGATCTGCAAGCAGTGATATGAGGAGGAGGTGACCCCCAAGATGCCCAACAGAATATGCTAAATTGGCTAGAGGGGACTGACCAGGAATCAAATCCAAGTTCCCTCTCTAGAAGATAAGAATCCTACTGCTGGACCACTGCAGCAGCTGAGTGGATAGGGGCTCCTGCATGGGCACAGTTGATATCCCAACACTGTAGTGCTTGTAATAGCTCTCTTTATGTTTCTAGGACCACTGCTATTCCCATGGCCACTGGCCTACCTAGCTCTTACAGCAGCCTGGACAGAAACTGAACTAATTTCTCTCACTCCTCTGCTTTGACCCCTCTGTCACTGCCCTCTAGTCCTATGAGGGCCAGCAGTCAGGGTATGCACTGAGGCATCCTCTATGCACTTTGATGGTCTACACTCCCCTTGCCAGGTACACCTGCCTCTGTGCTAACGCTGTGCTTCTAGCTACTTCTATCACACTTCCCTCCCCACCATCCCCTAGTCCGTCCTGTATACCAGCAAGGTCCTGGCAGAGGTGCCCAGCCTGCACTGGGATCCTTCTGACTCTCCCCGGCTGCCCCATCAGTACCACTTAGCTTCTGGCTAAGGTACATAACACTCTCACACATGCTTCTCACTCTCCCAGCCGATTCATTCACCTGGCCGTGTGGAATCAGGTCCTTGAGACTTTGGGGCCGTAGTGTTACCACAGTGGCAAAAAGCCAGACTGAGTGACATAATGCAATGGTATGTGGCTGAAGTCCTGGGGTAGGGGTAAAATGGGACCCCTCAATTCTTACAGGTCTGGCCGGTTTACCCCAGTGTGTGATGGGTGGGCCCCCTACTCCTCTTGAGGAGACTTATTCAGTGATGCTGACACGGCTGGGGGTAGGCAGGACTATGGGCAAAGACTCTTGGAAAAGATGAGCTGGGCTGGGAGGAGGCAGGGACAGCCACGCTCCTCCTCCCTCTCTGAGGCTTGTGTTAAGTAAACTTTCCTTGGAATACAATTGTGCTCTCCTTCTTCCTGCTGGATGAGAGACTGCCCCGCCCCTGCGCCCCCATGGGGTTCATTCTTCTCTGACTAGCTGCAGTCAGGGCTCCCCACTGCTCAGCCTTCACTCTCCCGCCTTCTGCCTCCTACTCAAGACTAGCACAAAATCCATTTCTTATCAAGAGTTATTGTTGCTTATCCCCTGCCTTAGGCATGGTCCAGAAAAAAATGACCTAAAGCCATGACCAAGGATCCAGCCTCTAGATTCTCAAGTTTAAAGATTCTAGGGCCCTTTCTGAGGGTTCTGGGAATCTGGGCTGTGAGCCCCTGGATAGGACTGAGCCAGCTGCACAGGAGAAAAAGAGCCTCCCATTGGAATGGTCTCTGACTGGATGCATCCATTCTCTCAGAACTCGCTACAGCAACAACACTGAGGCCCGGGAGACTGTGGAGCCCCAGGGCTCTCAGAGGAGTGGCAGCCCAGCTGCTCTCTGGTGCCAGCAAGCCCAGCCAGTCCCTGGAGCCAGAGGCAGCGTGTCCCCTGGCACTACCTTTGTTCTCCTCTCTGAGCGCCACACCCTGCTTTAGCAGATCTTACTCTGAAGAGACTAACTCAGGTACTTGGCAGGGCTGTGGGGACTGTGGACCTAGACAGTCTTGACCAGGGAGTATCAGAGGCTGACCCACCCACATCCCAAACAAATCCTGGAGTTTATTCTGTAACTTAGTCAATCAAAATGTTCTTCTGGAAAATTGTGCCAAGGTTAAAATAAAGACTGGGTGAGGCTACATGCTCTAGCTCATCAGTTAGGGAGGGGATGCCACAATGCGTATTATTAGTGTAGTCAAGGCTCTGAGAAGGTCTGCAGAAAAGAAACTTTACTTCTCCCCACAACCACACACACAAAAAGGACTTTTTTTTTAAAAGTACAGTTCTTGATACCAAGATGTAAAGATAAAAACAGATGTCTCCTAAGGAAACAAGCTGGTTTTTGAACAGTAGTGTGTTAGTGTTGCCAGACAGACTGGTTTCCAAGACTTAACTCAAGAAATTCCATTTGTGTGATCACAGAAGAAAATGCCCTGTCCTTCTGGCTTCCTTAATGTAGTAGTGACATCTGGAAAATAATTATTACTGGTTTTTCTTCTCAAAGCTGTTGCCATCTGTTGAGCACAACCAAGATAAAATAGACCTTGAGTGTTGGTTGTCAAGGTGCTCCATAGTTTTAAGTTTTATTCTGAGCCCATGTACTTTGGAATACAGAATTCACCTTGCCCTTTGAGATTTCCTAAAGTGCATGATTACAGTTTTCGTCAGAGCACAAAGCAGAGACAGCACAAGGCAAATTCGGGGATGGTTTCCAACACAAAGCTTCCGTGCCTGTGTGCATGAATGCCTTTCACCAACCAGGAAGCTCCAACTTATTTCACTTTAAGCCTATGATGCCCCAAATGACTAGATCAGAGGCTCTTCTTTTTGGCAGAACATTTGCTAATGGAATACCTTTTGAAACCACTGCTCACTTAGCTGCTTTCCTCATCAAGAAAAGTACTGGGGGTGGGGTACCCTAACCCTCACTACATCTGCTAAGTCTTGCTATACTGCTGGGAAGATTCTACATCTTCCCCCTCAAGTGTGTCCATGGAGTCAATCCTCATTAGGAATGTAGACTCTGAGGTCTCAACTTCTTTCTACTGGTCAGAATCTACATGATAGTGAGATCATAGAGGATGTGACACACGGTAAGTTGAGAGACACTGTTATTTAACTTTTGTTCTTTTCCACCAAGCCTGTGTAGGTGAATCACCTTCCCAGCCAGCTAGGGGCTTCATGCCCTATATAATCAATTGGAGAACATACTTATGTTTAAAAATCTAACATTTATATTTGAGGGATTTCCCACATCAGGAGTCCCTCATTCCTAAGACCCATGAGAGGAACCAAGAGGGACAGCTAGCCTAAGAGGCTTCACTTCTGCACAGGCTCATAGAAGGCAACAAGAAATCCTTCCAGCTTGGTCCTACCTCCCTGCTCATGTGTCTCATCCCCAGCGAGGCCCTGGGAAATTTGGAGATTCATAGAGATGGTCACCTTGGGGGTCCAAACAGCATCACCCTGTGAGTCCATCCCAGCCTCCTCTAGAAGATCAGGGTACTCATTCACGAGAGTCCACCATGGTTACTCTCAATACCTCTCGACTCACTTAACATGCCTCAGATGGACCCGAGAGGAAGAAAGGGGAGCCTAGGTAGAAGACATTTTATTGAGATTCTGCTACATAAATAGTTTTAGAAAGCTGTGAGGACTGAGGAAGTTGCTATCTCCTCTGCCCGGGCCATTAAAGAATCCATGGGGAAAGAATGGGGTGTAGACTGGTAAAGATCAGAGGAAGGGCCACCCTTGGACGCTACATAGCAAGAAGAGATTGATGGGGAGGAGAGAGAGAAGCTGGCAATCCAGATGTCATAAAAGAGGGGCAGCAGGGGCCAAAGAAGAGGTCATTGGGTCAGAGCCTGTATCACATCCTTCACCAGCATGGTACCAATCACCATCTTCTCACTGTTGACAGTCAGTTGTGCCACTCCAGCTGGCCGGGCGTCCAGGGTCAGCAAGACCAGGCTCCCGCTGGTCAGAGTCCTTCCTGCAAACCTGAGGTGAAGACAGAGGAATGGGCTCAGCCCTGGAGTATGGAGCCCCTCCTTCAAATCAATCCCTCCAAAGGTACATCTCTCCCCTCTACCAGTGGCCCAGCACCTGTACTCATCAGATGTCCCACAAGGGACACGGCCCAGGTTGGCGGTGGTGGTCACTTTCTGCACCACGATGTGGTCACTCCGGCAGGTGTTGGGGAGCATGAGCTTCTCTGTGATCTCATTCATGCCTGTTAGCTTTCCTGGGGGCATAGATCACAATAAGGGCTGAGGCTGTCCTCTCACGGTCCCCTGGGTATGCTCACACTGCTTCCATTCTCCTCGCACTGGCTGCTTCTCAGGTAGGACACTATCTCCTTTGCCTTGGACCTGGCGGCCCTCCCTCAGGAAGAATCTGTCGGCTTCTGTAAGCCACACCACCCCAATAGGACTCTGTCCATGCTGTTAATCAAAGACTGATTTTGGCTTTGCCATAGCCAGACATGTGAGAACTCAGAAGATCTCAGTTCTTAGAAGTTTCCCACACTTTGGATCCCACACTCTGTGGTCTTTCCTCAGTCTGACCTCTTCCCAGCTCCTAGATATTGAGACCCTTCAGAAAGAGATCATTGGTGGCTGCCAAATTCCGGGCCAAGCATACAAGCCAGAACCCACTGATTCCTTGCAGACCTCATACAACAAAGTCAGTTAGTAATACCACCTTAAGCCCCCAGACCCTCATGGCATATCCAGAATTTTCCACCTCCTCTCTTTTATAGATCTCCTCTCTAGATCGACATCATCTAGGCCAGAAGTCTGACCTCTTTGTTCACCCTCTTTCCCACGAGAAATCTTCTCTTTTGGCCTCTCTCTCCCTCTTCTTGCGGCTTCTCCCATTCTGTCCCTCTCTTGAGAACTGACACTCTGCTCCTGTATCTTCCATTTTGTCCATTCCGTTTTCCCCTCCTGCACTTTTAGTCTTCCTACTACTAAAAAAAAATCCACTCCATAAATGAGATCTTCCATCATGTCAGTCTCTGTCTTTCCTTGTTCATGCTCAAAATTCTCCAGAGAGCAATGCACTCCCTCAAACTCTTGCCTCCACAAACCCACAGAAGCAAGTGGCTTCTGTTGCTGCTTTGGCAATGGTCCCTGTATAATGGGCCTGAGGGGGTTAGGTCATTCTGGCCTGCAGATCACCCCAAGGTGCCTCCCCTCCTCACCTTGCCTCTTCTCTTTTATCTCCTCCTTCTCATTCTACACCTCCTTAAGGCCTCCCCTCCATTCTCTCCTGGGAATGCGGGATTTCCCCAAATTTCTGCTTTTAGCATTCTCACCTTCCCACCCTCCCCTTTCAGCGTGTTCTCACTCACACTCACAGCTTCAGTTCTCACCCCAACACCCATGACTCCAGCCTCCAAGTGTTACCTGGGCACAAACCCACCTTTCCAAGCACAAACACCACCTCCTCCTCAATTTCCCAACTGTGTTCCAAAATCAGCTTATCTCAAACTAATGCTAATTTCACCTTCGTTTTTGCGCAATCCTTTCTTCTGGCTCAAAGGCTCGCAAATTACAGGCCAAATCCAGCCACTGCTTATACTGTACTTTTTTTAAAACAACGACAACACATTTTTAAAGGGTTGAAAATTATTTCATGGCATCTGAGCATTATATGAAATTCAGATCTCAATGACCATAAATAAAGTTTTATTTGACCACCACCACACTCATTTATACATTTCCCTCTCACTGTTTTTGTGTTAAACAGTACAGTTCAAGAGGTGTGACAGGGACTATACAGACCTTAATGCCTGAACTATTGACTTTAAAGCTCATTAGAAAAAGTTTGCAGATTTATGGTCTAAGTGAAAGGCACCACCACTTTCTCTACTGTCTAGTCCAAAAATTCTAGTCAGCTTACATAGCCCTCTCCTCCCGAGTCCTATTTCCTTTGCAATGGCTCCAAATCTAGATCATTGTCGCTTTAACACATATCTATATCCACAGCCCAATTCAGTTAGGGTCTGAATCATGTTCCTTCCACCTCCTCCCCAAAGAAATGTGGAATTCCTGGCCCTTGTTTCTTTGATCCTATTTGAATTTTTCTCTGATGCTAAAGAAATCATATCGGTGTAGGTGAGTCCTAACCACTTCTCACAGTGAGAAAACCTAATCACTTCTCAGTTATCCTAGAGCAACACTAGAATGGAGAGACACACACACATGGGGAGAGAGATGTGGCCTGGGAGGATCATGTATAAACCAAGGAACACTAAGGAACCAAGGAAAGCAGGGGACCACTGACAAAGAAAGAGCTGACATGGCACAGCTGTGACACTGATCTGGACTCTCAGCATTCCAAACTATTTGAAAAGAACTTCCTGTTCTTTAAAACTATGCTCTGTAGTATTTCTGTTCCTGTAGTAGAAGGTAACCAACAGAGAGCAGGACTTCTTTCCAAAGTCCAGCACAAGTGAGCAGCAAGTTCAGAACTCAAAGCCAGGATGCATGAAGGCCTGTTTCTTCCATTTATGCTGGGCTGCCTCTCTTTCCTGCTCTGGCTCTCCTCGTCCCAGAGTCACTAGATTCCTCCTTCTGAAGCAAAGCTTTAGACCCGACCCTGATCCTCCCTCAAAAACCTCAGTAACTGGGCCTCCACAACAAAAAGACCGATCACATAATTACAAAATAGGCAAAAGACATGGAAAGACTTTTCACAGAGGAAGACATTCGGATGGCCTACAGACACATGAAGAAATGCTCAAAATCACTGGCAAAAAGAGAGGTGCAAATCAAAACCACAATGAGGTACCATCTCACTCCAGTAGCAGTGGCAAAGTTTAACAGGACAGCAAGTAATAAAAGTTGGAGAGGATGTGGAGAGGTGGGAACTCTCATTCACTCTTGGCATTGTAAAATGGTACAATCATTCTGGAAGGCAGTTTGGTGTTTCCTCAGAAAGCTGAGCATAGAAAGTCCACATGACCCAGCTATTCTACTGTTTCGAATATTAGAAAGAAAATTAGAACTGAGGCACAAACAGAGATTTGTCCATCACTGTTCATAGCAGTGTTATTCACTATTACAAGGATATGGAAACAGCCCCAAAAGTCCCACTACAGTCAAATAGGTGGAGAAATTGTGGGACATTCACATGATGGGATACTACACAGCACACAGGAGCAAGGGTATTGAAAATCACTAGCAACCTTGGAAGGGACTGGGGAGCATTATGCTAAGTGAACTCAGTCCCATAAGGACAAATACTGTACAAGACCATTATTGTAGAAATAGGAAAGAAAGATAACTAGCAAAACGTGTAAGAGGATCCAAGCAGGGGAGAGGATGAGCAGAGGATGGGCTGGGAAGATAATCACAGATCACACAATTTGATGGGTAGAGGGAGGGGTGGGTAAAGGAAATGAGAAAGATCAGTGTGAAAAACAGTATATACTAACTTTGTTAACTAACCAGTATAAATGAAAAATTTTATTAAAACAAGACAAACGTCCAGTGACTTCTTCACTGCCAAGAACAGGAAGTCTGCAGTCACTGTTCTTCTTTAGGCTTTAGCTGCTCCCTTCTCTAACAGAGGAACCGGCCCTGATAACCTCCGTCACCTCTCCCAGAGAATAGGACTGAACACCTTTAGCACGGCCTTCGGTGCTTCCAAAAACTAGACCAAACCCATTCTTCTCAGCCTGTCCTCACTACGACTCTGTGTGAGGAACCCAAACCAAACTGCTCCCTTCCTTTGCTGCAGCAGACTTTCACCAGCATCACCACAATTTTGCTTATATTGATCTGCAAGCTGGGATGCTGGCTTAGTTCTCCCTTCCTGGGTGAGTCTTAACTCTGCAAAGTCACATGGAAATGCCCCAGCCTCTGAAGTTTTTCTTGGGGCCATAAACCACCAGACCTCCTTCAGTCTGGAGGAGCGGAAGTAATTCAAGTGTGACTATATTGCTCTTGTTATGTTGTTGGTGTTAGGTGCCACTGAGTTAACTACCACTCACAGCGACCCTTTGAACAACAGATCTGAAGCCTGCTCTATCTTGCGCCATCTTCCTACTCTCTGACATGTTTGAATTCATAGTTACAGTCACTGTGTTGATCCACCTTGTTGGAGGTCTTCCTCTCTCTGACCTTCCACCTTTCCCAGCATGATGTCCTTTTCCAAGGACTGGTTCTTCCTGACAAGTCCAAAGTATATGAGGTGTAGTTTCACCAATCTTGCCTTAAAAAGCATCCTGGTTGCCTTTCTACCAAGATATACTTATTTGTTCTTTTGACAGTCCATGGGATATTCTGTGACTGTGTAGTGGCACTTAAGGAATTCTGGTGTGTGGTGCTGTGATCATCTCTGTCCACCCCAGAGTACTCACCCTGTTCCTTTTTGAACTCATTCTCACTCATGAACACAGGCGCCATCAGCTCCCCCACGGGGGGCTGAATGGAGACGTAAAACTGTCGGGTCTGGGTGCTGGGAAGGGCAGAAGAAATGGAGAGGAAGTGAGGCGAGCACTCCTCACCTCTCACTAGAGGCAGGAGGTGAGTGAAGAAAGGTTTGGGAGCTTCCAGATTTCCCATATCATGATGAATAACTTGTCAATAACTACTGTTAGGTCTAGCTCATTACAACCCTGCCTCCCACAGCCCATCCACGAGTTGCACACATACCACAGCTGGAAGTTGGCTGCTTGGGTTGAGTCACAGAAATTAATACCCATTACAGCAGTGGTGGATTCTCCAGGTGCCAGGGACTCTATAGTATGGGATGAAGGGAAGGGGGGCCTCACGTGAGACATCGCCATCTGAAAATTCCAGAGCCCAGTCTAATCCCATTTTCTCAATCACTCCTAGAGCTAACCATCCCTCTTTGAAATCCTGGCTTCCTGACCTCTGGAGATTATTCCTGGCTTTTTTTCCAAATATACGTTGTTTTTGTTGTTGCCATTAAATCAGAAGCAACTCATAGCTGACCCTCCAGAGATTTTCAGAAGGTGTAAATCATATAGGAGGAGACTGGCCATCTTTGTCCCAATGAGCAGTTGATGGAGCCTTTGTGTTGGGAGCACAATTCCTTACCACTAAACTAAGCCTCCAGAAATCCTTCCTTTATTCTTATTCTTGCCTCAGTCGAGTTGGTTCTGAAACAATCTGGCTTCTATCTCCCTAAGCACCTTCTGCCCTGATAGGGAAATGCTTATGTATTAGTTTATCTTGTCCACCAGGTCATGTTAGAAGATTATCTCGGTTCTCCCCTGACCCCACCCATTCTGGGCCCTGGCTTGGCACAGAGGGAACATCAGCACCCACAACAAGGCTGAGTCTACCCAAAAGTTCCCTTATCCACCCTGTCCAAGGCCCTCCTCACCAATTTCTGGAAACTCCTGGATGCTGATGCCAGCAGGCAGTTTGGGGGCACCCACATGCAGGCCCTTGATGGGATTTTCAGAGCTGTTGGAGAAGTGGATGTGCACAGACACCATGTGGGGGTCCCCAGGAAAGGGCTGGCGGCTGAAGGCATAGTCCACAGCTAGCCCCTCACCAGCTACACGGTGCAGCAACTCCTGCTTCCCAACACCTGACACTGGACTCAGGAGCTGGAGGGTGAGAGAAGAGGAGAAGTGAGCAAATAGGATGGGGACAGCCTCGTGCCTACTTTGGGCCATCCAGCAACTGGAACTCAGAGCGATCCCTTACATCACAAGCCACTCCCTACAAACCCAGTCCAAAGTCCTGCATAGTAATATGCTCCCACTTCCCCATCCCACTCACCGAGGGCACCAGGGAGGCATCTGTGAGCGTAAGGCCCTCCAGGTCCGTAACCAGACTGGTGGACACAATCGTAGGGGGAGACACCGGCTGGACACTGGGTGGTGTGACTGTGGGATGAGATGAGATGAGGAAGACTACAGTAAGGAATGAGTCTTTGGGAGGTATGAATGTTTAATGTACTCAGCAGCTAGCCCAGGGTCTACTTGGAAGTGCCTCAGAGGAAAGGTCTGGGGATCTATTCCTGAAAAATCAGTCATTGCAAACCTTATGAAGCAGAGTTCACTGCTGACACACATGAATCAGAGTCAACACAACAAGAACTAATACTCATTCTAATGAGGACCAGGCTTACTTGAAACCAGGGCACAATGCACAGACAGTTCAGCACCATGGACAGTGCAGCAGCCTGGCAGCTCCTGGAGGACACCCACCACCTTCCCCCACCTCAGACCCAGTAAGGTTGTCCTGCTGTCCTCTGAGGCCTTAAAAGGTGTTCTGTCTGCTCCTTCCAAGACCTGAGGAATCTAATCTAGTCCCCTCCTATGAACCTTCTTTAGTCACTTTCTTCAGGCCTCCTTCCCCCATCCAGACCACCACCTAGACTCACAGTCCTCAAGATCCAGTAGAGAGATCTCCTTGGCTGCAGGGGAACTTTTGCTGCTTGGAGGCTAAAAGAGCAATAGGAAGAGTTGTAGCAAGGGGGATGCTCTGGTCTTCCTGCTAGAAGACTAGGTGGTCTGTTGGTTGGGATGACAGTGCAAGCTGTCTGGCTCTGCCCACCGAGTAAGGAGGCTCCTGGCCCACAAGCCCAGGCCCTCAGCCCCAGATGCTCACTGGCTTTTTCCTCCAGGATGTAGATTCCACCCGTTCCTCCTCAGACTCCGATGTCACCTCAGATCCTGAGGAGCTGCTGCTGGAATCACTGCCCTCCTCTGAGGACGAGCCTTCCCTGTGTCCCTCTGGCACTTTCTTCCTCTTTTTCATCTTCTTCCTTTCACCCTCCTCCTCACTGTGCTCACTACAGAAGAGGAAACAAATTGGCTTCAAGCCCAGCCTAGACACTTCTCCATCACTCTAGCTCATCTGCCCCCAAGAGGAGGAGGGTCTGTCTCTCGAAAGTGGGGCAAAAGATGGGGCCAGCAGATCCCACACCGGCTATTCCCAGTGACAGGGCTAAGCAATCCAGTGCAGCTCTGTGCCAGGCCTGTTTCCTCCCCTACTCCAGTCCTCAGGAAAGGCAGGCTTAGTCTCAGAGCTTTCCTGACCTCAGCCAAGGAAGGCACCAGTGAGCTGACCAGTGTGCAAGGCCTCCACCAGCTCCCAACAAGGTTCTGGGCTTCTGGGAAACAGGTTCAGGCTGGGCACCAGCCCTTCCCTTCCACAGCGTTCCCTGAGCCCCAGCTGCCATCTTCCTGTCAGCAGCTCCCTTCTCACCTGTCACTGCTTCTCCCTTTCTCCTCATCCTCATCTTCGTTATCAGACTCACTGCTGGACTCCTCAGAGCTGCTTTCACCGCTGCTCTTACTGCCCGACTCGCTCTCGGACTCGGGATCTGTGCACAAACAGCGTCAGCACCCCACAGCCCTCAACGGCAGGTTTCCTCAGGTCCTGCGCATGGACTCTTGGCCCCCAGCTTCAGACTCGGTGCTGAAACCTCAAAGCTCACTGACCTTTCCCAGCCCCCACACGTCAGCTGAAAGCCAGCAAGACACAGAGAGACACAGGATAGGACCTGCACACACACGTCAGGCATGCTTTCCCCTCACATGTGCATGCACACACACACACGTACACATGTATATATGCACATGTGTATGTATACACGCAAATATTTAAGTTCCTAAGTGGGTGCGTGGCTCCTTGGATATAAACACCTAAGTGTACACACACTTCTCCGATACAGTCAGAGGTTCACATACAGCAGAAGCACGGGGCGCCCACGCTCGGCTCATCTCCTCACCACTGTCTGCTGACTCAGTGGGCCCTGATTCGCCTTCAGAGTCTGAGTAGAAGGGCTTCTCCTTCTCCTTCCTCTTCTCTCGATTTGAGCATTTGGTCCACTCGGGAACCTGGGGTGGGGAGCAGTGAAAGGGTCATTTTACCGAGGCTGGAGAAGGGGAGGAGGAAAAGCAGGCCCTTTTCTCCCTTCACTCATTTCTTATGGAAGCTCCCCACCACCACCCGGTCCTGTCCCCATAAGGGACAGGCAGTGGAGGACGGAAGGGGTCCTGTCCATGAAGGAGGTAGGATGATTACAGTGGGGGACCACCAAGCCAAGGAAGAGACATGGTAGACAGAAGAGCTTGGGGTGTAGCCCACAGGGGCAAGGACTGGGGAGCAAGCACTGCACACAGAGGGCACACGGCACATGAAGAGGGGACCTCAGTGTATTCGCCCAACAGGCCCACGTGGGTCTCAATAAGTGAGAGGTCTTCTTCCTGTGTTGGGGGAGGATGTCAGCGGGCCTGGGGAGGGCATCGGGAGGGCTTCAGCACACAGGGCTTCCCGAGCTGCACACCCCTACACAACTTGCACGTAATTCAGCCCCTACTCCTGCCGACCTCCACGTTGCGCACAGACGGGTCCGGGGCTTCCTCTGGCCAGTCTGGGAGCTCCTGGTAGCCTGTGGCCTTGGCATTGAGCAGATGAGACAGTGAACCCAGCTGGAAGTGATCCCGATCTGGGGATGAGGTTAAAGGTCAGGCTTGTGGTACCTTAGGAGCTGTTTCCTAGGTGGGGCTGGAGGTGATTCTAGTAGATACTACCTAGCAAAGGTAAAGGGATGGATGTGTCCCCCAGGGGCTCTTGCACAATTAGACCTACACGCTATAGGAAAAAGTTGCCAGGCCCAACCACAGCAGGAACAAGTGGGACTGGAGAGGACAGTAAAAGGGACACTGTGCCCAGAGTGTCCATGGTGAGGAAGGAGAGTCTGAATATAATCTCTTCCTGGGCTATGGGGACTATGCTGGTCGGCCTGGGTTCAGGAGAAAGAGGCATGTCTGGGAAAAGGAGCAGTCAGAGTCACAGATCAGACCTGTGCTACATACAAGACAAGGATTCAGGGACCCACAAGTGTGATGGTATTGGGGGAGGCAGAAAGGGGTTGTTTACCTTCTTCCTAGGAGATTTTTAAGTCATCCCTATTCCTTAAAGACCTCTCTACTCTATGAGATCAAGGGGCAGCATTTGCTCCAGGATAAACCTTAGAAGGCAGGACAGGAAAGGACAAGTGGAAATGGAAAACACAAGGTGGAACCGGGACAAGTTCTATTACATAGTAGGGATTATAATCAATTCCATCCATCAAAATGTGTATGAATTATTTAAGAGAAAACTAATTTGCTCTGTAAACTTTCACCCAAATCATAGTAAAAAGGTCGGTTTTTAAAATATCTCCTTATTCCTAATAATGAGAACAGTTATGCAACTTGAAAAAATGTAATCAACTGTCAGTTATACAGGAAACAATTTTAGAATTGCTGTAAATTTTGCACACAATACTTAATCCTCTCTATTCTTGAGGTCCAGGGAAGAGGAAAAAAAACATGATACCCAGAGGAACTGAGCTGTGTGAAGGAGGTTCTTCTCCTGGGCTTCAGTTCTTGGAAGCCAGACTGCAAGCTGAGCAACCTCCGCTCAGAGGCCCTAGGAGGCCCCGCCACTCGGGAGGAGGCCATGAGGGCCACACTGGAGTGCAGGGGCTGGACTGAGCACTGGGCTAGGACGTGGACTGATGTCCACATGCTCAGCCCAGGAACTTCTAGAAACTGTGTTCTCAGGACTTTCGCAAATACATGCCTCTCCTCATCTCTGTATATTTTATTTTTTCCCTTCCTGGGTCCTTGATATTTAAATTTGCGACAGGCACATTCAGGCCTAGTATCTGAGTGAAGTCCTTGAATGGCTATCACACTCATTGCTAAGATGAGATTTGAGGCTTGAGTCCATCCAGAGGCACGTGGGACAAAAGGCCTGGCGATGCACTTCTGAAAAATTGACCATTAAAATAAACCTTCTGGACTCACATGGGGTCACTGTGTGTCAGCATAGGCTTGCTGGCAGTACAGACTGGTTAGTGCCTGATCAGCAAGGGGATATAACTGGGGAATGGAGAGAACTCCTGAGATGATGTTAGTTGTGTTTGTGGTGGATTAAAGAATAAGCCCTGGCTATCACAGCAGGGGCTACAGAGATGGCAAGATGGTAAGACTGGCATTTCTCAGAGTCCAGTGGTTGGCCTAGGGAACTCTGATGGCCTAGGGAACTCTGATGGCCTAGGGAATAAGGAGGTTAGCTGTCAATCCAAAAACAGGCGGTTCAAATCCACTAGCTGTTCTGCAGGGGAAAGAGAAGCAATCTCCTCCCATGAGATTTACTGCCTCTGAAAACCTGCTGGAGAGTCAGCTGTGAGTTGGTCCTGACTTGACAGCTATGAGTGAGTGAGTGGTGCCTGGTTAAGGTTGAGTCTATGGCTGCAGCTCTTGCAGGGAGGGTACTCTGGATTTCAACTCTCACCTTTAAAGGAAGACTCCAAGACTGGGGCTGGTTTGGGTGCTAAGAAGAGCTTCTTGGCATGGCGGCTGAGGGCCCCTCCTTGCTCTGAAGGGACAATGAGCTGCCGTGTAAAGCGGGCTCGGTCTCGGATGTCATAGTTCTGGTCATACTTGGCCAGACTCAGCACGTACTGGGTCAGCAGCTTGGTCTGGGAATGGGGGGCAAGAAAAGGTGAGTCAACATGAGTAAGGGGGCAATGTGAGTGCTCGGCCCCAGATCCTTCAAGCCAATGTCCCCACATGGTGCTTCTGCCCTCTCTCCTCCAAGCGGCTGCCTCCACCTGACTCTCTCCTCACCCGACCACAGGTCCTGACTCACTGCAAGTCCTCTTGTCTCACCGGGCCTCTATGTTAATAACTGTCTTGGGCCCATAAAAGGCTGCTGCTCTCTTGACCCTGGACTCAGGTCTGTGGTTCCCTCTGGCCCAAGTCCTGTTTCTACCCTACTGAGTCCAAGCTAGATAGTCTCTCGACCCTGGGTCATCAGGGTGAGGGAAGACAGTCTGGAACATTCTGCTAGACCTCACAGTTTGTAGGCCTTGTTACCCAGGTATAATCTAAGAGAGAATAAAAAGAAAGGGAATAAGCAGGGGCCCCTCAGCAGAGACTGCCTTCCTACTCCACTCACCACAGGAGAGATTCTGAGCAGCTCAGAGGTTTCAGAGCTTAGGGTTCTAATGAGATCAGGGGAAATTGCAGCTGCCCAGGGTTTGCTGAGGTCATGAGGATTCGTAGTCCTGGCCCATGGCAGTCATACCTCTAGACCCCAAATCTCTATTTCTACGTGTAGCCTCGCCTTGCCTGACTTGCCAGGCCTAAAAATAAATGACAGTGGCAGCAGCCACCATTTCCTGAGAGCCTTCAAGCACTGAGCCCTATGTTTGGGTGCTTTACACTATCTCATTTAATTTCTCAGTCTTTCCAAGAGATAGGTATTCCCAAACCAAACCCACTCCCATCAGGTTGATTCCAATTCACAGCGACCTCAAGGGATAGAGGAGAACTGCTCCACAGGGCTTCTACAGAAGCAGTTTCACATTTTTCTCCTGCAGAGCAGCTGGTGGGTTTGAAGAGCCAGGCCCTCTAACAACTATACCACCAGGTCCTTTGAGATCGCTGTGATTACCTTCAACCTACAGAAGAGTCTCTGAGTGACCTGGCCAGGCTAAGGAGCATGCAGTGCTATCCCTTGGACTCTCTCCAGAGCGGTACCCTGGCCCTATCCCTTCACCGAGGGTGAAGCGGACAACACACTGACAGACATGCCATATTCTCCAGGCCCAGCTCTGCTGCAGACCCTGGCTCCCTTCTCAGCTGCTTTGCTTCAGCGTTGGCAAACTTTTTTGTAAAGAGCCACTGAGTAAATATTCTAAGCCTTGTGGGCCACATACACCATCTCAGCTTTTCAGCTCTGCTTTTGTATTACAGAAGCGGTGCATAAATCAATTAGCACAGCTGTGTTCCAAATAAAATTTTCTTTGCACAAGAGGCAGCAGGTCAGATTTGATCCACAGGCTGTAGTTTGCCTCCTGCTGCCTTGCTTAACTGAGTGAGACAGTGATGCAAGCACTGTCGGGGTGCCTGGTGTCCTCACCACACTGCAGAGCTCTGCACATTACATCTTGTTCTCAGGAGAATCTCCTGGATGCAACTCAAGGGAGGTGGACACCCAAGGAGTTTTTAACATGCTGTGATTCTTGTTTTGTCCCACTCTTAGTTATGACACCTTGCATAACTTAGACTTGAGAATGACAATAGATTCCAGCACCACCCACACCTGAGCAGAGATTGTCCCCTTGTCACTGGCACAGATTGGCCAATCATCACCAACTTTAGGGGGAAAACATGGACCATATCTCTCTGGATTCATGTTCTTCCATCAACACCTCTCCCAAAGGATGCAGAAGGACACACTTCCACTGGCCAACGAGACCCACAGCTCCCCAGGAGAACCTCTTCAATCATGGTCACCAGCCCTTTCAGCCACTTGCTCCTGATTATCCTCTTCAGGAAATTCTGCTCAAGTTCAGGCCCACCTGGGGGGTGCACGCAGAATACTGCTGAGCAGTTTCTGGGCGCCAGAGTTCTTTTGGATGACGTCTCTCAACCTTTACCTGCTTAGAATTGGTCAGATAGAGCTTGGCCGCCAAGTTTATGACCTGCAGCTTGACGATATCCTCCTCCGCTGTGAAGGACTTGGCCATTTTTCTCAGCACATCAGGTGCAATTCTGGGCACATGCTCACAGTACTCGCCGATGAGCCACAGGATGCTGGCCCGGGCCATGGGCACCTGGGGGCGTGGGCAGTGAGAGGAGAGAAGACTAGGGGAGATGTGGGAATGAGAGGAGGAAGAGGGACCACTCGGGAGTGAGCTCTCTGTGGAGGTAGCTAGTGCTGGCTTACTGTTTTGTGGAGTCTGTAAGGATGTGAGAAAGGGGGATGGAAGAGAAATAAAAGGTGGGCTCATCTTGGGCAGCAGGAAATTCCCTCCCCTTTTCTATATGGTTTTATTAGTGTCAGCTGAATCTTCAAGCCCCAAAATTGGCCATGGTTTAAATGAATGATTTTCTGGACTCCTTGCACCTTAATGCTTTGCTGTCATGTTATTCTTCCTGAATCAGCAGGAATGGCTCATTTGAATGTTTTAGTTCAAGCAGAGCAGCAGAAAAGCACAGGACTTGTCACTCATCCACTCTTGGCCAAAACGTCAAGAGAGAAAAACCAAGAGTGGGGATAAAGGCCATAGAGCTTAGCAAGGGATCCCACAAAGGGAAAGTGAAGCCCAGGCCACAAGGTCCAGGTCTCACCTCCCCATCTTTCCCTTTATCCACCTGAAGACAGCTGAGGATCAAAGTGGAAGGTCTGGAGGTGGCCTGTTACAGGGCTAGAGTATTTAATAATACGATGTTACAGGTGATGGGTAGGATGGTGTTAGGGAAGGAGGAAAACACAGGTCACTCCCTCACCTGGATGTTGTCTGTGAGCTTTGCCAAGTGTTTGATGATCTCTCCATGCTGTGCTGGCTGCATCTGCAGCAGCTTCTTGATGACGACCACTGACTCGGCAACCACAAGCTCTGTGGACCAGGAATGAGGGAGTGGACACGGGCACCAAGGGGCCATACCAGGTGCAGAGGCACGCCTATGATGCCCTCAGAGCCTCCACCTCAGTGCCCCACACTTTTCTAGTGACCTGCCCTCTGTGGGGGAGGAAACTTGGACTGTAATCGAGGCAGACAGACAGATGGGCATAGGTTGTGCTTAGGGGAATGGATGGACACCACTAGTCATCAGACATGCAAACAGAAGACCCACTGATCACCCAGGCTGGACGCTGAAGACAAAGACTGACCATCCCGGTTGGACAGCAGCTGTACCAGCCCATTGAGACAGGTGTCGCGCACTCGGCCTATGTTTGTTGCACAACGTCCAATGGCCTGGATTGTGGCCGCCACAAAGTCTTTGTCCATGCTTCGGATGTAGGTCTGTGCGGTATCATGACAAAGAATGACTCCACAAACTACTACTTTCTCAAGGACCCTCCGTTTCAGACACTAAATCCTGCCTGAGAAGTAGAAACGACCTCCTCCCATTCCCAGGAGCCCCAAGCGATTGCCCAGCCCAAAGCGAGTAGAAGGACTTGGGGCCCAAAGAGAACAGATGTCCAGCTTTGGACTCTGCACAGCAAGTTTGCTCATCAGAGCCATTCTCACTAGAATGGGGATCTGATTGGTACTTCTCCCGGGCCTCTCTGGCTGGGAGCTGCCCTGGTCTGTACCTGGAACTCCCTCAGGACAGTAGGGATGTTGGTCTCATTCGCCAGATTGGTCAGCACTTCCAGCTGAGGGGAGGGGTGAAGAAGAGAAAATGGTCACAGTGTCAGCAGGTCTTCTGTTCCTTCATAACCCTTCATCCCAAAACATACTTTACAGACCAGAAAATAATCCTTAAGACAGTCCTGCATCATCTATGGACGGAACTTACGTCACAAAATTGTCCAGAATGTAGGAGGGCCAGCTTACCTCGAAAATATATGTCCTGATAGGTAGTTGTTTACTTATTGACGGAGTTACTTCCCCTCCCCAATAAAAGCTTAATGCTTCATGGTCTGAACACTGTCCACCCTTCCAGCTTTATCTATCACCACTGTCCTCCCTGCCCTCCACAGCTCCTGGCACACGGGCCTGTAGTCAGATCTCTCTTGCCCTGGGCCTTTGTATATACTGCCCCTTATCTCTGTATTTACCTAGATAATTCATGCTCCTTTCTCATACCTCATCTTCAGTATTCTTCAGGGAAAACTTCCCTGTTACTCTACCCCCACAGTACACCAGATCTCCCTATTTCATGCTGCCACTGTATTTCTTTTCTACCATATTACACAAGTGGAATTTTACATCTGTTTTGGCATTAGCGATTCTTCCTCCAACTAGCCCACAAGCTCCACTGGTGCAGATTCCTGGTTACTTTTGCTTTTGTGTCTTCTGCCCTCAGATCTAGCAAGTGAGGATGCACAAGAGATACTCAGAAAGGGTTAGGAGGGAACACTGATACCAAGTGAAGGCCACTTAGGAGAGCAGGGGCAGAGCAGGACTGAGGTGGAGAGATGAGCTCTTGCCACTTTTCCTGGGGGTATAAGTTTGCACAAAAGCCTGAGGGGTAGGACAATGTGGGCAACAGAAGATGTTAATAAGAAAAGTACAAGCTTTGGAGTTAGCAGAGTTGCAGTTACCTCACCCCAAGTTTACATTTTTTTCATAAGGTATGCTTCATGGAGCTATGAAAATTAAGTGACTTCATACACGAAGAGTGGTAGGTGTACAACAGGTACCAGGGGCAAGGGGCAGTTCCCTTTCCCTATCTCCCCAATTCTCATAGCTGGGCTCACTGAACACTGGCTGAGACATGGACACAGGGTTAGCCACTGGAAACGAGCAAAGTGAACATGAAGGCGAGAAAAGAACACATCATGAACATCTGCCCATCACTCACCTTCAGGATCTTGATCTGGGTGGGGTCCGTGGACCTAATGTAGAAGCTCTTCAGGTAGGGCTCAAACATACCCTGGTGCAAAAGAAGCAGACCCCTGCGCTCAGTGGGAGTGTAAGACCTGCTTCTGTCCCAGAATCACCCATCTTTCCTGCCTCATCATTGACCTCCACTCCTCAACTCTTCCCTTTCTGGTATGACTATGTATCTCTCTTCTTCCAGCTTTCAGGACCCAAACCTGCTCCTCCCCTCTTTAGTGTCTCCACTTCCTCCAGCTCTGGATTGGTCTGGCAGAGCCTGAGCATCCCCCCATGTATGCTTTTCTCAGGTCTCAGTCCCAGTAGTGGCCAGAAGGCCCCAGCCGCTGCTCCTTGTAGTTAATACTGCCATTAGTCATGTGCTTACCCGGCGCTTGATGGACATGGTAGCCACATTCTGGAGCACCACGTATTGCACCTCACTGTGGAAAAAGGAGTCAGAGGTCCCTGGGACAAAGGGCAAGAGTGGGGAGAAGAGGTCCCTGGGGCAAAAGATAGTAGGTGGGGAGAGAGGTAGGCTGCACAGCACTTAAGAGGAGGAATAGGAGGTGGGACTGGAGTCAGTGCGGGAGAAAGTGAGCTCAGCGCAGAGTGGTGCATTTTTAGGGACTTATTCCCTCTTAGATCACTTTGGAAAGCCTGGAATAGGGGGGTAGCTGGGGGCGGAGCCTGCCACGGACCGGCATGGAGGGTGTGCCCGAAGCGAGCCCCGCCCCGGGGCAGAGTCAGGGGGTGTGGGCGTTGCGCACCTGTGGCTGCGCAGCAGGCGGACGAGCGCCTTGGCGATGACGCCCACCTCCGCCTTGGGCGCCAGATGGAAGTAGAGCTGCGCCACGGCCATGACCACGGCGGCGCTGCGGCTCTGCAGCAGAGGCTTGGTGTTGCGCAGCAGCAGCCGGTGGTCCGGGTCCATGACGTAGGGCTTTCGGGCGGGCAGCGCCGTGGCGGCAGCCTCTTCCTGCCCTGGGGCCTTAGCCTCGTCCTCCTCTGAGCCATAGAAGGCTTTCTCAGGGTTCTCCTCTAGCAAGGATTCCTGAAAGGAGGGACAGGCCGCCCGTGGGCGTCCCTCCCCGGCGACCTTCCCATCCTCCCCACCTGCGGGCACTCACGTTCTGCGTGGGGCTTAGGAACTGCGTGCGCGCATAGCGGGTGAGCATGCTGATGATGACCACCTGGCCCCACTCCTCCACGTCGATGAGCAGGTTACAGAGTTTCCGGTAGTTCTTGTGAATAAGGTCAATGCGCTCCGGACACACCTCCTCGAAGGCCATCACCACGCTGCCCGCCACCAACTAGAGGACCCGTAGGCACAAGAAAGTGCACGGGGAATGCAGATGGGTCCCCCTACCTTTCTCCCGCACCCACCTTTCTTCTATCCCCGTTTGTCTAAAATACACACCGTAGTTTTGTCAGCCAGAAGTTTCTCAATGACTTCTATCAGCTGGTCCTTCTGGTCTGAGTCCAAACTGAGGGAGAAATTGTTGAGGATTTGTAGCCACCAACCTCCCACCCCTTTACCTATTATTATACCTGCCTTTCCAATAACTGCTTATGCTATGCTCTCCGGCTCCACTTCAATTATTAGTCAAAAAGTGAGGAGACCCCTCCCCTTCACCATTTCGGTCAATTCTCCAACCAGCTCTTAATAACCTGAAGTTGTTGGGTTTTTTTGGTGTGTGCGTGTGGTGTTTTTTTTAAAGGTGGGGTGAGGAGGGCTTCCTGTGAGACTTAAAGTGAAGCCAGGAGAAGGCTGGGGACTTGGGAACCAGTCTCCAGGAGTGATGCACAGAGGCCGGGCCATACCTGTAGAGTTTAGGGATTGCATGGGCAGCTGTTTTCCGCACATAGGGTGACATGTCTGAGGCAGCTTCCTTGATGGCCAGCATCATGATGGGCACTATGATGGGCACACGGATGCTAGAGAGGACGCGGAGAGCACTGGCCCGAATCAGTTGATTGGGGTCCTAAGAACAGAGGAGGCAAAACAATGAGAAGGCACCAGATACACCCTCTGCTAGTCACTGTCCCCAGCTACCTCCAGCTTGCTTCCCAGCTTCCTGACCTCAGCATGAAAGGGACGTGTGCCAGTGCCTAGTACCTAGAAGCACTGCCTGTGGGCACTGATCTTGGCCCTGAGCTGCAGATATTGGACACCTGAATAGGTGCGGGAATGGACAGCTTCACCTTTAGAAAGACAGCTTCAGAACACCTAATGTTTCTGAATGAGCCAACTTGTTTAGGAGTAGATGGCCTTTGTGTTAATCATGCCAAAGGTGACTGACTACCAGCAAATATAAGCTGGTATCCCAAATAATTCATTCTTACGTTAGTCTCTTCCATTTGCCTCTCAAAAGCTGCTTGTATTCTTTTTGTGCTTAAAATGTGTACACCTCTTTGCTCCTATTAGCAGCCTACACACACCTGATAAGCACATTAGACAGACTACTGAAATCATGGGGCTTAGAGCTATCCTGCCATTATCATAATCAGCAGCAGCTGTTCGTTACAATTAGCACATTATGGACAACAGAAGAAGTGCTGTAACACTAAAGAAGGATATCTGCTACCCTTATTTTCTAAAATGGAGAAAGAAGAATTCACAAAAGTACAGGTGAAATTGGCTGTAATATCGTGTAGAATTCTAGAGCTGGTTTTTAAAAAGATTGTTTAAAAGCACATATTTAAAAAGCAGAGAAGCTTTTTAGTATTTTCATTAGTAATTTCTTAGAAATAAATCACATTTAGCCAACTGTTAATGCTTGCTTAAAAAAATGTATTTGGGAATGACTATAGAGGTATACAGGAGCTCTGGTGGCCTAGTGACAAGAAGCTGCACTGCAATCCTAAAAGTTCAAAGCCACTAGCTGCTCCACTGGAGAAGGATGGGCAGTCTCCTCCTGCTGCCTCTGAAAACCCGCTGGAAGGTCAGCTATGGGTCGGTTCTGACTCAGTGGTACACAGCAACAACAAAGAGGCATAGAAAATCACAAATCTTCTCCCTTTCCCCAGGATAAATTGACTAGTATTATCCACATGTTTGGATCTCAGCAAGCCTTTTCTCAGACTCTCCATAATAGCTTCTATATTGCCATTTCCCCCCTGCACTGCCATTTTTTATGCTGTCCTTTTGTTTCACCGAATAGGCAAGCATTTTCAGAGCAGAATTCTTTTCTATTTTATCTCTGTAACACTCAGAGCCCTTTTCACATGAAAGGTGTTAATTTTTTCCCCCCTAGGAGTTGATTCAAACTCCTGCTTGACAATGTGGGAAGATGCCAGCTAACTTGTACAGTTAAGTAAATCCACAACTTGATAAAGCTTAAGGGAGGTTTATTAAGTGCTGCCCTGGTCTGGCCAACTTATCAACATCATAGAGGAAGACACAAAATTGGAAAAACAAAAATAAGACTCAGAATCATCCTACGTTTAACCAATAAAATGAAATACATTAAGGTTTCCCAGGTAGTTGAAAGGGTCAATTGCACAAGCATAAAATATTGAGAATCCTCCCACCAACTGGGAAGTTTGTCTAAACTGAGTCAAGTCAATCGTGTAGGTGACCTGGTAAGCAAAGAAGTAGGGCCTCAGCTAATACAAGGCAGGAGGGACAGTGGATGGGAATGGCTGGTTCCATTGTGTGGGAAACTGATGGTCAAAAATGTAACAGGGAAACTGAGTGAAAGGAAAACAAAGATCATATGATTCCATTTACAAAACATGATATATTGTTTGTTGTTGTTGTTGTTAAATTCCATTGAGTTGTAGGCAACTCATAGCAACCCTATGAACGAAAGTCCTCAGCACTTGTGTGACTTTCATCCTTTCTCCAGGTTCATAGGGTTTCCGGAGGCAAGCTATCACAGAAGTGGATGCCACTCCTCCTTCCAAGCTTGTTTTAATTGGGGAGCTCCACCAAACACTGTCCACCATGGTAACCATTATCGCATTTGACACATCAGTGTCAGTGTTCAGCTTCACAGCAACCACGAATTACCGCTGTACAGCAACTGGACACCATATTTTACCATTCTGGCATGTCCAAATGCTAGAGAATCCAAATGCCAGAGACACTCAATTCACCTGGCAAGTCCACTCTGCTGACACCAACTTGGAGCAAAAAGAAAGCCCCAAGTGCCCCAAGCATTCCATACTTGCCTCTCATACTCACAGGAGTATGTGAAAAATAAATGCATAAATATGATAAATATGAGGTTTTGGTTATTTATTGTTTTATGTCTTATACGGAGTATATAGGTGGTCAATACATTATTCTTTATGACATTTTTATGCTAAATTACAGCTAATATAATTTTTTTAAAAAAATTATAGCACGGTAGGTTTCCATGCTTTATACAGGAGGATACTGCCCATCTTTATACTGCAAAGCAGTTGGTGGAGTCAAACCATGTTCCTTTAGGTTGTCAGTGAAGCTCCTTGCAACTAGGCCATCAGAACACTCTCGGTTTCCATGCATTATGAGTTAAACAAAACAAAAATCATTGTTGTTGTCCTAAAACAGCATGAATTTCATTACAGAATGCGGTCTCCAGCATGACTGGGCAGAGCTGTTGTAGTGCCGAGGTCAGCACACTCGGGCCCTAAGGCCAAATCCATTTATACTGGTTTTTTGTAAACAACATTTTATTGGAACACAATCAAGCTGGCAAGTTTATAGATCCCTCCAGCCTAAAAAACCCCCAACCTTACTTCCATAGCCTTGACTGGGATTTATGACGACCCTCTACTGGTTTCTTATGCTGTAAATATTTTTTCTCTCTCCCCCACCCCCCACCGTGTGTGTGTGTGTGTGTGTGTGTGTGCGTGCGCGCGCCGTCAAATTGGAGCTGACTGGTACAGGAGGAGATTGTCCCTCCTTCTCCAGCAGAGCATATGGTGGATTTGAACCATATACCTCTGGTATTGCAGTGCAGCTTCTTGTCACTAGCCCACCAGAGCTCCCTTATTAACTTTTTTTATAACTTAAATCTTATTAACTTTTTTCCACACAGTGGCTGGAGGATTTGAACCACGAACCTTTCAGTTAGCAGCTGAATTAAATATACTTTACCCCCAGAGATTTTCACAGTTGACATCGCATTGCCCCAAAGTCTAAAATATTGAACACGTGATAGAAAAGTTTGTTAACCACTGTTGTACAGTGATCATTGCACTGAGTTATAATAAATGACCTGTGGTTTCCTAAGAGGGAAAGGGGCAGAGTATAGAAAGTACAGGCAAATGTGAAAATTATCTGCGTGGGGAAGAAAAATCCAGAACAAGTTTTATAAAATAATTTTTATAAATGGTTTCATTCTTGTTAAAAACAAAAAAGTTAAATATAAAAACAAAAAAAACTCAAAAAAGTTTCTTGCCAATCTGAGCTGGTGGCTATGATATTGGCTTAAAACAACTGTTTATCTTATTGGTTCCAAGGTCGAAATTAATTGCCATAGAATTAGAACAGTTTCTTGGCTGTAAATTGCACAGGAAGACACCAGCCATGTTTCTCCTGAGGTAAAGCCTTTGGGTTAGCAGTGTAACTCTAGGGACTATGCCAACAGAGCTCCCTTGGTGAAATACTAAGAAGGTTTGAATAATGTTCCTAATGACGGAACCAAAGCTCAGAAATGGAAGACCTTATAGGCTCATGGGAATCTGAGAGATGAGCGTGGCAGCATCTATCAAAGTCTCATAGATAAAGGCTGGATGCTCTTCAGCCAGCACACAGGAAGCCTGCAGGGCTGGAATAGAGGGGATAGTGAGGAAGCCAAGAAGGAGACCTGAACAGCTGTCCTTGGAGCTTTCCAGTATGCTGGCCTTGTAACGAGTTCCTGAGAGATGGAAAAAGTTAATGCACTGAGAGGAGGTGACTGAGTCCACCCAGAAGCGCCTAGGAGGAAAGCCTGGTGATCTACTTCTGAAAAAGCCGCTGTCGAAGATCCTATGGAGCACAGTTCTACCATGACACCCAGGATGGTCATGAGCAAAACTAACTAGGCAACTGGTTTGCTTTTTCACGAGTTTAGCCTTTAAAGATGACCAATAGAGCAAACCAAAAAACACCACCACAAACCCAAAACCAGATTCCCAAGTCCCTGCAGACTTAAGATTTAAGCTCGTACACTGTGAGAGCTTGAAGGATCTTTCAAATAGAACTCTCCAATAAAAATCTAACATTCATTTATTCACTAAACATTATAAAACTTAAAAGTTTAGCGACAGTAAGCAGTATGCATATTGTTGGTAGGAAACATCCAGTCAATTCCAACTCCTAGAAACTCTAGGGGACAAAACAGAACTGCCCACAGAGGTTTTTAGGCTGGATCTCTACAGGCAGGAGCCCTGACAGTGCAGTGGCTACGTGCTCAGCTGTTAATCAAATACCAGTGGTTCGAATCCACTAGCTTCTTGGGAGGTGGATGTAGCACTTCGCTTCCATAAAGATGAAGCCCACTGTTGAGTTGATAAAGATTACAGCCTTGGGAGCCCTGTGGAGAAGTGAGACTCTGCCCTGTGTGGTCAGTAAGAACTGAAAGTGGCTCGACAGCAATGGGCTGGGTTCTTTTGAGTCTTTATGGGAACAGATCATGAAGCCTTTTACTGAGTCACAGGGAGGATTCAAACCAGCCTTTATACTAGCAGTGGAATGCTTAAGCTTGCACTACCAGCGTTCCTTATTAAGCACATACAAAGCAGAGAATTTCAGAATGAATTAGTTTCACAAAAAACACAGCTGCAGCATCACTGATTAGCTCAAACCTCTTGTAAAGGTGAAGAAACAATCCTAGATGCCCTTTTCATAATTTATTTCTGAAAAACAGAAAAGAGGGCTCGATACAGTTTTCTTAGTTTCTGGGCTTCATACTATTGATGCTGTGTATTTATCTCTTTAAAAAGAAAACTTCCAGCTCACACTTCAAACAGGAAGTGATTTTCTCAGTTCTAAGCCTGATGATGCTTACCTCATCAGAAAGCACTTTCCTGACCTGTAATCTAAAGTATGTCTCCCCTCTTATTCTATCATAGCACACTGTTATCTGCCAGTGTTAGGACTCTGATGCCTTGAGGTGAGGAGTCCAGGTCCCTTACAGAATCCTGGCCTCTCTATCTTTGCCTCTGTAGTGACCCCATAAGCAAATCTCAGTCTTTGCCTTCCTGGGAGGGGGAATCTACCACAACAAAGGTGATCAGATGTTAAATACTGGGTATTTTTTAATACATTGGGACTTTTAAGACAAGCAGATTAGTTTTTCTGGAGCTATACAGTTCTTCTGATTATATACATGTTCTTCTGTCATAAATCAATGCCCCAATTCTAGAGGAATGACTGGCTGTATGAAACTTACTGAGAGATGAGATTTTCAGGGTTTGTTTTGACTACACATGATGTATAACTATCTATGCATTTTTTGTGCTGACATTGGAATCTAGCCTCCATATGCAAGGCTACAATTCTCCTGGGTAGCAAGACTGCCTCTTGGTGGGGCTCAAGTATTTTAAGTAAATCCTCTGGTTCTTCTTGCCAAATTCCAGGTGAAATGGGCTCCACAATCATTGTTTTCTCTAGACACCTAGACTAGGTGACCTGCCAGTGTCAAGTTTTTGCTGCCTAGAGGTGAGAAGTCCAGATGATCAGCTCCCTCACAGAATCCTGGCTTGACAAGGTTAATTTCTGCCTGGCTATAGGCCACCATGAACACCTTTACTCCATCAGAGGGAAGGGAGAAGGGTTTTCTGCTTTCTATGGCACAAGTGGTTCATAACCTCAGAGGAGGAGAGCGAGGCATGCCCCTCATCACTCCTCCTCCTTCTGTGACTGACCTCCACCCTCTGAGGGTCTGGATGGTCCTCCTTCTGACTCTACACTTCCCAACCTTAGGCAGATTAGAAGGGGCTTCCTGACTCTGCCTGCCCTTTGGCCTCTACCTGCACCCACTCCTCCAATGCAGAGCCAACGAGGCTCAGGCCTCTGACCTTTAGTCCACGCTGGAAGGTGGAGATGGACAGTAGGGCCAAGTCTTGCTGCTCCTCCGCATAGCGCACCAGGTACACGTAGACAAGCTTCTTCACCTGGAGGGAAAGCAGGTTTCTAAGCAGGGGTTGCCTCAACCCAACCAGCTGCAGTGCTTGGGGAAAAATTCTTCATATGAGCGTCTCCATACATCTCGAGTGTATCCCTGGTCCTTTTTTCTGACCCACATACAGCTCAAGGCTGTGTTGACAGTGTCTTCTCCCAGGTAAAAGACATCTCTGGGCAGATCAGATCCTTAAGGATGAAATAGTTCCCTTCCTCATTCCCAACCCAGCTTGAGTTTATTCCTGGGAGAAGTAGGGATGAGTGCTTACCTCTATGTTCTTACAGGCCACGTTCTTCACTACGGCAGGAAATAGGTCGGAAGCATTCTTTCCACGGGCAATCATCTAGAGTGGGGGAGTCAAGGCAGAGGAAACAGGGGAAGGGCAGAGACACAGCAATGATTAGAGTAGCGTTCACAAGGAGCCAAGGAGAGGTGTTCTCGGATTCCCAGAACTCTCCCCCAAGGGCAGCCTTGCTTGTCCCCTCACCGCCACAATCCTCTTCATGGCCTCCAGCTTGAGCGAGTCCTTGTTGGTGTCCAGCATCTCCTTCAGGTCATCATGTCTAGTGGGAGACACAGGGGGTCAGCTGAGGATACAAGGGTCAGAAAGATCCATCTGGAGACCCAAGCAGATAGCAGGAGGATGGACTAGGGAAGGCTCAGGCAAGATCACAGCTAAAAGGCAGAGGCCAGAGGAGGGCTCCTGCTGCTGCTGCTGCTGGTCAAGTACAAGTCAGAGGGCTTGGTGTTTGGAGAAGTATATAAGTCAGCCAGGAACACAGAAGCAGGAAGGAGCTAAGAGGAAGGGTATGGGGTGGGACTAGGTATGGACTTTGAGAAACAGGATCAGCTGAATGGATGATAAGAGCATGAAGTTACTGGAAACGAGACAAGGCATGAAACCAAGAGCAGACAGCCTTGCCCTGACTGAATGTGTTCTCACAGACCCTAGGTTGACTCCAAAGACAGAATGAATTCCAGAGACTTTGGATGACTTCACAACAGAGCCCAGATCTGTCACTCCACGTTCAACAGTCATTTATGAGAGAAATCAAAGATCTGAATAAGGAACTCCTTGCATTTGGTTGAGGGGAATAAAGTCAGCACCCAAGTCAATACACAGATTCCATGGAATGCTCATTGCTTTTTGTCAAACTCTATGAACTGACAGTAAAATTCTTCTGGGAAAACAAATCAGAAGGTAAAAAAAATGCGAAGAATATGATTTTTTTTCTTAAACACTGAAAATGTTTTATTTTCATTTCCCCCCACACAAACTGCTGTACATTTTCTTCCAAAAAAAAATTTTGGGAATAGAAGAAAACAATGCTAGCTCCCTCAGATTTTAAAACATAAAATAGCACGACTAGGAAAGCTGTGTGGCACTATATTAAAAACAGAAAGTAAAAGATCATAGGGGGAATTTCATAAATGGATCTAAGTAGATATGTTGGGAATATGTCACCATTTTTTTCTTAAGCAAATGCTAACCGATGAACCTGGAGAGAGGAAGAAAGGCACCTAAGCGTCGAGGACTCTCCTTCATAGGGTCGCTATGAGCCACCTGTGACTCATCGGCACCTAACAACAATAATATCAACAGAGAGAAAGAGATCAGCTGGCCCAGCGGACAGAAAGCGATGCTACCAAGCCAAAGGTGGGTGACTTTTAATCCGCGGCCCTCGGGTCTATCTTTCATTGTTTTTGTTCAGACATTCCTCTAGGTCATATAGCCCTGGTGTACAAGTTGCTGTACAGTGGTAAGTTGTGGCTGCTGTGAGGCTGAACACTGTGACACTGATATGTCAAATGTGTTAATGGCTGGTTACCCAATGTGGACAGAGAGTGGGGTGGGGCTCTTCGATGAAAACAAGCTTGGAAGGAGGAGTGGCATCCAATTCCGTAATAGCTTGCCTCTAGAAACCCTATGAACCTGAGAGGAAGAAAGGCACCCAAGCGTCGAGGATTCTCCTTCATAGAGTCGCTATGAGTCGCCTGCGACTCAATGGCACTTAACAACAACAACAATGCTAACCAGGCCAACTGCTGTACAACAAATAATTTTAAGTTAAAGACAAAATTCATGCTAAGATAAATTCCACATCTGCTTACTTAATTGGTCTTTCTTAAATGTAGAAAAACAATGGTCAAATTTTATTTTTGAGGGTGATAAAGTTATCAGTGACATGACAGCTGTTGTTGTTAGATGCTGTCACATTGAGTACAATTCCTAGCGGCCCTACAAACAACAGATCTGAACCCTGCCCTGTCCCTGCTAGCCTCATCACCTCTGACACACTGGAGCCCACTGATGCAGTCACAATGTCAATCCTTCTGGATAAGGGCCTTCCTCTCTTTTGCCCACCCTCCACCTTTCCAAGGATGATGGCCCTCTCCAAGGAATAGCCTCTCTTAACAATATGCCCAAAGTATGTGAGACAAAGCTTTGTTATCTTTGCCTCTAAGGAGCACTCTGGCTGCACTTTGTCCAAGACATACCCATTTTTTTAAGCAGTCCCTGGGATATTCAGTACTCTTCTCCAACACCACAACTCCAAGGTGTCAGTTCTTCTTTGTCATCCTTATCCATTGTCCAGCTCTCAGATGCATAGCAAGTGATTGAAAAGACCATGGCCTAAATTATGTGCACTTTAGCCGATGTCATTGCTCCTTAATAATTTGGGGAGGACTGTAGACTTTCCCAGTGCAATATGTCTCCTGATCCTGACTGCTGGTATGAAGGGTTTTAATTGTAGGTCCCAGTAGAATGAAGTCATTGACACTTCAACTTTTTCTGCATCTACCATGATATTGCCTATTTGTCTAGAGAGCTAACTTTAATTTCTTACCTTCGGTGTGATAAAAATAGCAATTATAAGGTAAGGTAGTTCAGCAAGAAAATAACAGACAACCCAATTTAAAAAATGGGCAGAGGGCATAAAAAGACACTTCACCAAAGAAGACATTCAGATGGTCAGCAAACACATGAAGAAACACTCAAGATCATTAGCTTTGCAAATGATTCTTTTTTTAAAAAAGGAGATATGATCTAACAACAGCAAAGTTCAATAAGACAGCAAACAACAAATGTAGGCAAGAGTGGATAGATTGATCCCTCATATCCTGATAGTGGAAATGTAAATTAGCACACCACTAAGGAAAGCAGTTTGGCATTTCATTAAAGAGATGGGAGTAGAAATACCATTTAATCTAGCAATCACACTACTAGGTATCTATCCCGAAGAAATAACAGCTGCAGCATAAACTGCTATACACATATCCATATTTATTGCAGCATTATTCACAAACACAAAAATTTCTAAACAGCTCATCAATAGATGAAATGTATAAAGAAACTGGTACATTCACACAATGAAGTATTAGGAAACATTGAAAAACAAGAAAGAAATCATAAAATACTGTACAACATAGATGAAGCTCGAGGAAATGCTAAGTGACAAATTGGTCACAAAAGAATAATTATGGTATAGAACCATCATAAAAAAAGCTAAGGAAACATTTATACACAGACTCATTGGTTACCAGGGATTAGAAAGAGAGAGAGGGGAGTAAAAATTAAACAAGTAGTGTGTAACAAAGGAGACTTGGTGGCCACGAAGTTAAGTGTTTAACCACTAACTGAAAGAAAGGTCAGCTACTTCACCAGCTGCTTTTTGGGAGAAAGACGTGGCAGTTGACTTCTATAAAGATTCCGTGCAGTCTTAGAGATACAGATTTCTGCTAAAGATTACAGAGTTCCATTCCATTCTTTAAAGTCCCTGACAGAATCAACTGAACAGCAGTGGATGAAGTGGTACAAATAGTTAACTTTCTCACTGTTAATCAGAAGGTTGGAGGTTTAAGTCTACGCACAGATACCTCAGAAGAAATGTCTGGTTGTTTAATTTTGACAAATCAGTTCTTGAAAACGCTACAGAGTACAGTTCTACTCCGACACACGGGATTCACCATGAGGCAGAACTGACCTGGTGGTAACTACTTTGCTTTTTATGTAAGGCAGCAAAAAGGGAATGCTTGGGATATAGTTGTTGTTGTTATGTGCCGTCAAGTTGTTTGTGACTCATAGCCACCCTATGCACAACAGCCCTAAACCCTGCTCTATCCTGCGCCAACCACACTGCCTCTGACACACCCATCCCGATTACCCCAGTCACCGAATCAATCCATCTCATAGAGGGTCTTCCCCTCCTGCGCTGTCCCTCCACCCTCCCAAGCATGATGTCCCTCTCCAAGGACCCGTCCCTCCTGGCAACATGTCCAAAGTATGTCAGACGAAGCCCCAGAATCCTTGCCTCCAAGGAGTAGCTTGGTTTAATCCTCTCCAAGATGAATCTGTTTGTTTTCCTGGCAGTCCATGGTACATTCAGTACCCTTCTCCAGCACCACAGCTCAAAAGCATCCACTCTCCTTCTGTCCTCCCTAGTCAGTGTCCAACTCTCCGATGCATAACAAGCGATTGCAAATACCATGGCCTATATCAGGCGCACCTTAGTCTCCAGAGAGACACCGTTGCTCTTGATAACTTTAGAGAGGTCCCTAACAGCAGACTTCCCCAACACGATACGCTTTTTGATTTCCTGACTGCTGGTGCCAAGCCAAGCAAACTGAAGCTGTGAACAATCTCAATCTCTTCGCCATCCATCCTGACGCTGCCAATTGGTCCAGTGGTGAGAATCTTAGTAGATTAAAAAATATAATAAAAACAGATCAAATTATATTATAAAAATCTGTAAGGTCCATATCCAGTGCAGGAAAATCTTGCTGAAGATTATTTCAAAATGGCTAGAACAGTAATACATTGTCAGAGAACTGCCAGAATTTCAGATGGGTTTAGAAGAAGCCATGGTGCTTCTTCTGATATCATTGTTGATGTCAGGATCTTAGTTGAAAGCAGAGAATACCAGAATGATGTCCATTTGTGTTTTATTGACTATGAAAAGTCATTTGACTGCGTGGCTCATAACAAATTATGAACAACACTGAGAAGAGTGGGATTATGCTCATGTGAAACCTACACTTAGACCAAAAAGATGTTGTCCAAACAATGTAAACATTGCATGATTTAAAATCAAGAAAGATGTGCATCAGGACTGTATCCTTTCTCTATACAATTCAATTCATATGCTGAACAAGTAAGTCAAGAGGCTGGACTTTCTGAAAAAGAACGTGTCATCAGGACTGGAGAAAGACTTAACAACCTGTATTATGCAGCTGATACACCTTTCTTGCTGAAAATGAGGAAGACTTGAAATGCTTGCTGTAGAAGATCAATGACTACAGCCTTCAAGATGGATTACACCTCAACATTAAGGTGACAAAAATTCTCACCACTGGGCCAGATAGAGAAAAGATACAAAGTGTCAATCACTTTAACTTACTTGGATCCACAGTCAACACCCTTGGTACCAGCAATCAAGAAATCAGAAGAAGTTTTGTATTGAGAAAATCTGCTGTCAAGGACTCCTACGAGGTGCTAACGAGCAAAGATGTCAGTTTAAAGACTAAGGTACACCTGATTCAAGTCATCATCTTTCAAATTACT